TTTGGCTCTTTGGGCCCATTTATTCCATCTCAATTAATACAGCATCTCACAGCACACGCTTTCTCACTGAGCAGAGAGGTAACCAAGTGCCTCTAACAGCTTTTGACAAATGGTGAGCTTATCTTTTACACTGCTTTTAGGAACAGACATATTTTTATTCTCCACTGCCTGCGCAACTTGAGTATCACGGAATTTGACTCAGGTGAAACCTAACAATAAACTCCAGGCAGGCACCAAGACAGAAAATCTAACCTCTAAAAGCCTCCTGTGCAAAAACACTTTACTACTCTGGGTGAATACGGAACAGTGTTTTGAGGATGCTCAAGATATTCTTGTGATTGAAGCATATTTCATGTTTTACTGAGGCACACGTTATGTAAGGGCACTTAGCATGCGTAAAGAGTAATTTGTAGGCCAGCATAACAGATGAGGCTCATAGTAAAGATATGCTTTTAAAGAACTGATAACTTTACAACTGCCTGTATGGGCTAGTGAGTTATTTTAATCTTATGGGGCAGAGAGAGGGAGAGAGTTCTGATACTACCGTAATGAACTAGGTTAGATAGACATGAGTAACCATGTAGCATTATTATGTGACCCTTGTCCTACCTTCCCCAATGTTATTTGCTTAAATAATTTTTTGTATCCTGTCTAAAACTGTGAGCTCTTTGGGGAAGGATGATTGTCTTCTGTTTGTTCTCTAAAGCCCACAGCACATGTCTGTGATAGACAAATACAAGGAAGGGGCCTTTTCCCCAGCTGTGAATAAAGTGGATGAACAGCGACAACTCTTACTGAAATAGGAGCTCAGTGCGTTCACCCACTTCCATGTGATGAGTCTCAAGATACATTCAAGCAGGCTGATTTTAAAAAGGCAGGGAACAAAACTGGGCACTGGATTCACAGAATACGTGGATAACCATCAAGAGTTGACTAAAGGGCTTCAGAAAAGACTTTTGGAGTTTGAAACTTAAACAGATCTTTAGTAAGGGCACAGAGAGTCCCTCATTTTCTTTTCATAATGTATTCTTTTATTATTGTCTGAAAGGACTGGAATTGGGTTGGTGCCTACATACTGCAGTGATGGAGCCTCCAGAATTGTGATATATAGTGAGCGCAAGTGCTAGGCAATGTAAGGCCTACAGTAGTAGGACCATACCTGATAAGTTCCTTTAAGGGCCATCAGCTGTGGTCAGAAAGAAGGTATTCTCGAGTTGTGTCTATCTCAAGAAAGGTGGATATGATTCATTGTCCTGTGGAAGAGTCACCCAAAAGAAGTGGTGGAAGCACTTGGGATATTTAAAACAAGATCAGATAACACGCTACTAAATATTATGTAGGGCACAATCCTGTTCTGGCAGAGGAATGGACTGAATTACATGGTGACTCTCTTCTCTCTGTTACTTCTATGACAATAAAGAGAAATGTGGTTTCTCAGTAATTAAGCTCTTTGAATCTCTTTGGATCAAGGTGATAGAGATGGTCAAGAGTTGGAAACTGATGACTCTAGACACACTGTACAGAACTTCTCCTAATAAGAAGGATGGAAGGAGAGATAAGAAAAAAGTCACTCTGATTCTGTAGGGAAATAATGTCACTACTCAGAGTTTTTAGTTACTTAAATGCAGGAACCTCAGACACTGGAAAACATTCAAACCTGATACTTCCACATTGATGACTAATTCCCAAACCAGGAAGGGATTTGGAAGAAATGCTTGCTCAATCTGTGGAGTAATTGTGGTTCTTCGAGATGTGTCCCCTTATGGGTGCTCCACTCAGACGTGAAAGTAAGTCGATATGGTGTCCCGGCAAGAGACGGTACACCATACCGGACTGGATCAGCTTCTCCAGGCTGGCAATTTAAAGGGCCCGGGGCTCCCTGCAGCAGCTGGAGCCCCGGGCCCTTTAAAGTGCCACCGGTGCCCTCTTTAAATCGCCACTTGAGCCCAGCTGCCGGAGCCCTTGGGTAGCGGCGGCAGGGCTCCACCGGTAACTTAAAGGGCCGGGGCTCAGGCCATTGCAGGGAGCCCTGGGCCCTTTAAATTGCCCTTGAGCCCCAGGGCTCCCAGCCGCCTCTGCAGCTGGTAGCTCTGGGGGTGATTTAAAGGCCCCGGGGCTCCCCACAGCAGCCGGAGCCCCGGGCCCTTTAAATCGCCGCCCGAGCCCGGCTGCCGGAGCCCTGGGGTAGCTTTAAAGATTTAAAGGGGCCGGGGCTCTGGCTGCTGTGGGGAGCCCTGGGCCCTTTAAAGCACTGCCTGAGCCCTGCGGCTGCTACACCAGGGCTCTGGCAGCCAGGCTAGGGCGGCGATTTAAAGGTAGCTGGTAGCTCCACGGGTGATTTAAAGGCCCCGGGACTCCCAGCTGCTGCCGGAGCCCCAGGGCCTTTAAATCTTGATTTAAAGGGCTGGGGTATTTAAAGGCCCCACCTCTTCTGGTTGAGGCCACGCCTCTTCCAGTTGAGGCCACACACCCTGCTCAGGACTCTGGCATATCAAAGTTGAGTCCAGTATGGAAGTAAGTACAGCTGAGCCGAACACAGTATCAGAAGCAGAGTCGTGAGTTATTGCATAGTATGTAAAGACACCCAAGTAGTGGCCTTACATATTTCAATATTGGTCACGTTTTTGGGAAATGTTATAAGAAGGTGATAAATAAAAGTCAGCATGGATTTGTCAAGAACAAATCATGTCAAACCAACTGACTTTCTTTGGCAGGGAAACAAGTCTTGTGGATAGGGGAAAGCGGTACATGTGGTCTATCCTGACTTTAGTAAGGCTTTTGATACTGTCTCGCATGACCTTCTCCTAAATAAACTGGGGAAATACAACCTAGATGGAACTACTATAAGGTGGGTGCATAACTGGCTGGAAAACCGTTCCCAGAGAACCCATATCAATGGTTCAAAGTCAAGCTGGAAGGGCATATGCAGTGGGATCCTACAGGGTTCAGTTCTTGGTCTGGTTCTGGTCAACATCTTCATCAATTATTTAGATAATGGCATAAAGAGTATACATATAAAGTTTGAAGACGATACCAAGCTGGGAGGGGTTGCAAGTGCTTTGGAGAATAGGATTAAAATTCAAAATGATCAATGAAGATGACATGTGTTCTGATTTAAAGCACAATTCTCATTCTTAGAAGTGGGGGGAAAAAAAATAAATTTATATTGAACAAAACCTGGGTAGATAGTTTACATAGGGCCCAAAATTACAGCTCCTAAATCTGGCAAAAATCCTATTACATGCAGTTTTAAACATACATTGGGGGAATAAGAAGACAGAAGAATTTGAGATTGCAGTGTATGAATATATACATAAACATTTTCTCAGATCTGCTTTGCGTCCAATGGATATGTTAGAATTTTGATTGCATGATTTATCATCGGGGGAGATAAAAGTTCTGTTAAGGAAAAAATTCTCTTTGTAATATTTTTAATTACTAACCTCTTTGAAAACAGATTTGCATGTCCATGTTGATCAGTCTCTGCTTTCAAACACGGCACCGAAAAATCAGGTGGAGCCTGCACTGTCTGCCGAGCCAAAATGCTACCATGCATTTCTATAGCACCTTTGTAGTGTTTAAGTGCTCAGTCAATCAGAGATAGAGAGCTGGCCTTTAGTAGAGTTTGGGTGAGCACGGAATTAGGCCCACAAAAACCTGGCATGCTATACTGCTCAGATTTTGAGCCTCTACATTTGCAGGTGCAAATTGTATACACAAATAACTGTGTGCAAATTGTATGTCTACAATTTATTGTGTCTGAAATCTTCAGTATTGATCCATTCTGGTCCAACGAAGTCAATAGGAGTGTTTCTACTGACTTCAATGAGAACTGGTCTAGACCGTTACTTGTCTAAATCCCTAATTTGAAGACACAGAAACCACACACCTAAGTGACCTATGTTGTTGGTGCAAATAATTGTGGATTCAAAGTTATGCTTGCATTGATGTGTGCAAGCAGAAATGGAGGCCAAGTTGAGTGAAAATTTGTATTTCTTATGTTTTTACTCGGCCGTTTCAGAACAAGTTTATATTTGGAGACTAACGGCAAACAGCCCTTCAGTTTGAGATTCTGATCCAAAAGGATGATTTTACATTAATTCCATGTGGGTCACAACCTTCCCCATTCCTATATATTGTCCGTAAGGAGAGATAGAATAAGAGGAGTCAGCATTTGATTCATTTACATGTATTGCTATAATGAAAACCAAGTGTGAATGCAAGATCTTCTTTTTGAGATGAGAAACTCAGTTGTTAGCCAAGATACAAGATGAAGCCACAATGAACCATGGTAATACCTTCTTGGACAGTTTGCTAGCACGCTACTTGGCATCTGCATACGTTCCCTAATGGATATAGCTGCACCGAGTGCTGTGCTCCCTAATTCATGTAAGGTTTCAAACAGTAAAAGGCAGAGCCCTGCAAACTCTATACATATAATACATATAATATAGTGATTTTAATAAATATAGACATAGATCCTTATGGTTTTTATCTTCTAAAGCTCAGTGCATTACACCAAGCTACATTACTCTATTGCTTGTCAGTGTCAGACTGATGAAGTTAAATTGCTGGAATGTGGTACTGTCATGTTACTAAAGTTTTCCATTAACCGAGTCATGTTGCGAGGATGGCAGAGGCCGGATGTCTGGCACGTTGCAGAATATAAAGACGGCTATAAAGGTTATTATTGGTATGACAGTAGCACTCCTAAGCCGCCACTGAGAGAGGGGCCCCATTTTGCTAGGCACTGTACAAACTTATAGTAAGAGAGAGTCCTTTCCCTGAAGAGAGCCTGACTAAACAGACAAAGAATGGCAGGGGAAACAGTGGCCCAAAAAGGTGAAGTGACTTGCTGCAGATCACGCATTGGGTCAGTGTCGGAGCTGGGATTAGAACTCCTGAGTCCATGCCAAATCCACTAGACCCAGCTGCCTCTCCTAGCTCTAGACCATTACCCACCCCACCCTTCACCAAGCCACTCACGTCAGTCTGGTTACCTTTGTTGTCGTGCCAGACGCGCACCTTACACAGGTCTCCCAGGCTCAGTGTGTCAGGAAAATTGAAAACATCCATCTGGTTCCTTTCAAACTTGTTAGACTTGTTAGACTCCTTCAGAGCAAGAGTCCCGCTGTCTCCGTTCTCCCCAAACATAATCAAGGACACGTTGGCGTCGGTACCAGCCCCTGGAAGGAGATGGCAAAACACAACACAGTAACTGCTATGATGTCTCTGAACGATTACCAAGCCAACCAAAATGGGTACAAAGACGGCAGGCTAAAAGTGACTGGGATTCTTGCTCTAATGTGCAAAACTCTCAGGGCAGAGGTGATGATTAGAGTTGATTCTTGCAGGATTCTGCTGGACCAGCAAAGAGAGGCTTCACAGCAGGCAGGTAACAAGTGGATACTTTTAACTTGTTCCCTCAAATTTAGTGTGAGTGGCAAGTCCTTATATGCAAGTTGTCATAATAATTATGATAATATACGTACCTCTTATATAGCACATTTCATCCACAGATCTCAAAGCACTCTACAAAGGAGAGCACTGTCATTATCCCTATGTTATGGATGGGGAAACTGAGGCACGGTAAAGTGAAGTGACTTGCCCAAGGTACCCGCCAGCCCAGTGGCAGAACTGGAAACAGAACCTAGGTCTTCTAAGTCCCAGTCCAGTGCTTCATCCTAACATTCCTGGTGTCTGTACCAGAGTAATAGAGTAAGAACATGGCTGCCTGCCACTGCCTGCCATTTAGTAGTGCAGTTCTAATTCACGGGGTAGCCTGGGATCTCCCAAATAGCATGGTGTGATAACACGGACATTGGGAGCCATTCTAAGCACCACCACAGGCCAAAGGACACACAGTTGCATAGGAGGCAGGCAGCAGGAGCACTGCACTGGGGCCCAGCACAGATGCTCTTAAAGCAGGGCAGGAAAGCCAACAGTAAGAGATTTGTATCATCTTTGCTTAAAGAGTAGGATGCCAAAAGTCATAGAAAAACTAGTGGTCAAGGAGCTAGTACCTGTTGGAATGCTCTATGTTGGGCTTGTGGGCTGGCATGGACACCTTCCTCCTCACTGCCACAGGCCTCTCTTGGCCAGCCAGGGCGCTTTCCCACTTGCCATTTCCCTCCTGGCAAGTAGTGGCCGCAAACTGATCCTCAAAGTGCTCCCACATGGGAGAGAGGCTAGTCGTGCTCTACGGGCTGGCCCTCCAGATACTGCCCATCTTGCTGCTACCTTCCTCCCTTTGTCAAGCATGGGGTTTGAGTGCACGGCTAAACAAAGAGCACAGGGAGTACAGACACGACCAAACTGCTTCTATCTTGATCATAGAATCACAGAACTGGAAGGGACCTTGAGAGGTCATCTCAGACACTTGCTGTCTCTCCCAGAATTCTAACTCATCTGCTTTCCCCATTCTTCAGCACAATGCCCTCCGCACGCCTCATTCAAGTGCCCTCAGTTTCTCTCCCAGCTGCACCATCATCCTTACCTTCTTCCTATCTGCCTCTAGTCTCTTCTGCATCACACAGTGTCTATGCACACGTGTGCTTATCTAACATAAATACAGTGGGTGAGATTTTCAGAAGCATTCAGCATTGGCCTAATTCTTCTCTCACTTCCTTCAATGGTAGCAGAATTAGGCCAACACTGAGTGCTTTAGAAAATCTCACCTATTATGTGTCTCTCTTCCACCCCATCCCACCCCAGAACAATCTAGAAAGGAAGCATTTCTAAGATGGCCTCTATACCAATCTGGTACCCAGTATGGAATTTCACATGGGCGTGGGTGAAATTATGAGCATTTTAGCATTTTGCCTGGCACCTTCTATAATTCCATAATAAAGCACTGGTTCACAGAAGCAAATTTGCTTTTCTGAGGCCGGACCTTTATTGCTGCATCAGACCTGAGGGGCCTTCTAATTCTGGCAACTGTAAAAGAGACTATCAAACCCAAACTTGGCTCACAAAGAAACTCAGCCTTTGCCACCCTCTGCTAGAAGCCCCAATTTTTCAGACTTTAGAGGCCTCAAGCCAATTCTTGTACAAGCATATTGCAAAACCATCATCTGTACAATGATTTTTGTACAGCTCTGCTCAAGTGCCAAGGGGAAAATGTGAGGAACCTGGAAAGCCTGTGACAAAATAAGTTTCACTGCAGGACAATACTTTATAACTCATTCTTCCAAATTTGTATTAACCACATACATCTTTACATAAAGAAAAACAGAACCAATGCAAAAGTGACTCACTTGCATGCAGAGGACAGTCAAATAAATGTCTCACATCCACATGACATTTTGCTTATGTTAAATCGGGAATAATTTTCAGCAGTTCCCTGAGAAAAATTTAAGGAAGGAAGGAAAGCACCAGGGATTCATGTAGTTCAGTCGGCAGTACCTTTCATGGCCCTAAAGCTTGCTGAGGTGATGAAGAAAGCAAAATAGTCTACTTTCTTATAAGAGGCAAGCTCCCAATTAATGCAGGGTCTCAAAAAAACACAGAACCAACTGGCTTTTAGCAAAACCTTCTTGGCAGGAGGCAGCTTATGAAGGCCTCATGCCGTGACAGTAACCTCACAAGCAATTAGTACAAGATGGGAAAGAAAAGAACAGAAATTGCTGAATCCATGGCTATATCACCTAGCTGACTTTTTTTGGTTCCTTGAAACAGTCAGACACACTTAGGAGCTGCAGCAAATTTGACATGCAATTGACAAACAAAACAAAGAGATCAAGTCAGCGTGATGAGGTAGCTGTCATGCTCCTGGTGGCAGAAGCCAGAGTAGGTCCTTTACTCTTTAAGGAGCTGTACCAATTTACCAGACTTGGGCCTGATCCAAAGTCCACTGAAGTCATTGGGAGTTTTCCCTTGAACTGAGCTGGGCTTTGGATCAGACACTTAGAAATGGACTGCACCAATCACCTCATATTAGGTAAATTGTAAACTGTAGCTGAGCTTACAACAGCAATAATGGATCGTATAATAGCAGGGATATTAATATTTACCCGCCTCTTAGGCCAACTGCATTAAGTAATGAGTTTTGAAGACAGAGAGAGCAATATTATTATTAGATCAGGATCTTTATTTTTGCAATGCCACATATTTGATGGCTACAAATAAAATATAGAAACATGACTTAAATCAAGATCATTAAGGAGAGAGGATGGTTTTGAGCATCAAGAGATCTGGGTTCTATTTCCAGCTATGTGTCTGTCATATCTTGAATTAAATAGTTTAAACCTGAGTCACTAAAAAGGAATAGCTCTTACCATGTTTCTTTCCTTCCTTCTCTGCTGATTCCCCTCCCTAAACTCCCTTTCTAATGTTCTCAAGTAAAAATTGCCTACACTCACTGCCTTGTACTGCGCCACTGAACCAGACGGACTCACCATTACCTTGGGCAAGTCTCTTAAAGACAAATATTCAAAAGTGTCTTTAAATTTTGAGAACCTTCATATCTGGGGACCCAAATATACCCCTCACTAACTTCATCTGAAGTTATGACTACTCTGCACCTCTGAAAGTCCAGCTGAAGTTGTCTCAAGTTTCCTTCTTAGCTGCTGGGAGACCAGCTCTTTCAAAAACCAAGCCACTTATCTAGTGGCCCAAAGGAGGACTTAGGGTACATTTAACCCAAAATAGACATGCCAGGATTTTTTTTTAAAAAAAGGATGCCTCAAGATAGGGCCCTGACATCATAAAATCACCCACATCTTCTTAAAGGGTCACCTATCTTAGGCTGAGCTAGAACCCAAAGACTGTATTAGTGTATCCGGATTCTAAGGATCTTAGAACAGGCCCTTGTAAACCTATTATTTCTGCATTCATGCACTGTACCGGTTTCCTATCTGCTTTAGGGAGCAATTCAAGGGGTTGTTTTTAAGGAATATAACCTGGGACCTGGTTGCTTTAGATACCTTCTCTCTTCCTATCTACCTTCATGCTGACAGCTGAAGCACTTCTGACAGCCCCTAGGTCTGGTCTTTGGAAGACTGAAGATCAGGTCATTTGCAGTAGAGGACCCACACTTGCAGGAGGGGTGGTAGAATCATCTCCATTTCTCCGCCACAGTCCAAGTTTGCCGACCTTCAGAGCACAGTAGAAGGCCCATCTATGACTCAAGCATTTTCTTGAGCCTGAGTAACACTGAGGTATTTTAAAGTGTTGGGAAAGGGTGAGCAGTAAGGTGGCTGGCAAAAGTGCTACTGCCTAATATAGGTAGCAGAGTTTGTGTTATTGTTTAAATTACTCCAAGGCACCCAGAGGCTGTGGAGATGGATGCAGAAAATAACTCTATAATGAGAAATAAATGGGCCTGATTCTGCTTTTCTTTACACCAGTGAAACTCCATTGAGTTCAGTGAAGTTACTGCTGGTTTGCATCGGTGTGACAGTGGCAGATGCATCATGCTCGATATATCGAACAAGCAATTTATTACCTGGAGAGAAGGGCTTTTCCTGAAGACAAGTGGTAACCACAAAATACATAAGGCGTGGTTCACAATTTGAACCCCTCCCAGATATGTTGGCTAAAGCACAGCATCATTCCAGCTTAGTGTATAATTTGATCCAAACCAAACTCATTCTCAGTTTCATCTGTTCTCTCCCACCAACTGCCGTGGCTCATAATGAAATAAAATGTTTCATCATTCATACCCATCACCCTTCATTCAACATGAAGAGGAGGTGAGTCTGTGGCTGCTGTCATCTCCCATTCCGCTCTCATTTCTATGGTGAGCCAGGGCTGAATTGCAGAAAAAGTTCACACTATGATCATACTGTTTATACCGGATGGAAGGTCAAGCACACCAACTGTCAAGGTTCCTTCCCCACTCTGAACTCTAGGGTACAGATGTGGGGACCTGCCTGAAAGACCCCCTAAGCTTATTTTTACCAGTGTAGGTTAAAACTTCCCCCAGGTACAAACTTTTACCTTTTGTCCTTGAACCTTTATGCTGCCACCACCAAGCATCTAACAAAAATAACAGGGGAAGTGCCCACTTGGAAACGTCTCCCCCACAAAATATCCCCCCAAGTACTACACCCCCTTTCTTGGGAAGGCTTGATAAAAATCCTCACCAATTTGCATAGGTGAACACAGACCCAAACCCTTGGATCTTTAGCACAATGAAAAAGCAATCAGGTTCTTAAAAGAAGAATTTTAATAGAAGAAAAAGTAAAAGAATCACCTCTGTAAAATCAGGATGGTAAATACTTTACAGGGTAATCAGATTCAAAACATAGAGAATCCCTCTAGGCAAAACCTTAAGTTACAAAAAGACACAAAACCAGGAATATATATTCCATTCAGCACAGCGTATTTTATCAGCCATTTAAACAAAACAGAATCTAACGCATATCTAACTAGATTGCTTATTAGCCCTTTACAGGAGTTCTGACCTGCATTCCTGCTCTGGTCCCAGCAAAAACATCACACAAACAGAGCCTTTGTTCCCCCCCCAGCTTTGAAAGTATCTTGTCTCCTCATTGGTCATTTTGGTCAGGTGCCAGCGAGGTTATCCTAGCTTCTTAACCCTTTACAGGTGAAAGGGTTTTTCCTCTGGCCAGGAGGGATTTAAAGGTGTTTACCCTTCTCTTTATATTTAGGACACCAACACATCCTCACTCTTTCTCTTGTTTTTAGTACTCCACAACACGTTTTTACTGTTTTGCAGCCCCACTGGCCCCAGGATATCAGCAAGACAAGGTGGGTGAGGTAATATCTTTTACTGGACCAACTTCTGTTGGTGACAGAAACACATTTTCAAGCTATCCAGAGATCCTCTTCATAAAAGATATACCTCACCCACCTTGTCTCTCTACATGTTTTTAAGGCACGCAATGGGCAGCGACGCAGCAAAACGGTGCGATGTCACGAAGACACCTTGTCGGGGTGATCTTTAGATTCTAAACACAAATCCCTCACATGGTGTAAATTCAGCGCTGGAAAGGGGAAAATAAAAGACTGAGCAATGTTGTAAGATCCAGAGCTAAGTCAGTCAGAAAGTGTGTCTACGTGATAAAGTGTATCTTGGACTGATTTGGCATTCAGTGATTGTGTAAAATGAGTGTAAGATTCACAGAGGAGTTGGAGAGAGGGTCCCATGGAAATAGGTAGTGATCCCAGCAAATGGCATTGCAAGCACATTTTATTGAGATATTTGAAGCTCTGCAGCTTTCTTCTGTCATTAACTGAACTTTTCCAAAGTTTCACAGTCTGGATCTTACCCTTGGGCTGGCTTTTCATGCTCTTTAAATACTTTGCACTTTCATAGAATCAGAATTGTGGGGTTGGAAGGGACCTCAAGAGGTCATCAAGTCTAGTCCCCTGCACTGAGGGAGAACCAGGTATACCTAGACCATCCCTGTAAGGGTCTCAAAGCATGTTACAAAGGTCAGTGAATACCATCAGCCCTGTTTAACAGAGAAATACACCAAGGCACCAAGCAGTTAAGGGAATAACCCAAATCACACAGGAATCAGGATCACAATCAGGCCCATTTATTTCTCATTAGAGAGTTATTTTCTGCATCCTTCTCCACAGACTCTGGGTGCCTTTGAGTAGCAAGTCAAGGAATTGAACCCAGATCCCCTGAGCCTTAACCACAAGAACAACCTTCTGCTGTACACAACAGCAGGACCCGATCAAGAAAGGACCAGTGACAGTAGCAATGTGTCTAGCAATTGTTGCCTATTAACTCTTTAAGGGGAAGCAGCTCCAGTCAAATACAGACCTAGAGGCTTAAAATTATATTTGCTCTCTAGCAGGTTTTCTGTTCTCCACTGAATAATGTCAAGTTTCTGTAATAAAGACACTCTTATCCTCCAGGGATTTCAAGGTTCCAGGACTGTAGGACTAAATTCTGCCCTAAGAAATTGCATAATTTCCACTGAAATATGAGATTGTATCTGTAGGTAACATTTGAGCCTTGTGCTAGAAAATCAGAAATAGCCAAAATGACCCTACCTCCAATATCACTGGTTTTAACCTGAACAGTGTATGTGGTATTCTCCATCATCTGCTCTTCATTTATCACTGCAGGTATCTCGCACACAAGAGCTCCCTTAGCATTTCTGAGCTTGGACAGCCATTCGCTGTATGTAAATGTGGTCACTTCTTGATTCGACAGGTTCTTCATGATGATCTGGGGAAACGAAGGAATTTCAGCAACGGTTAAAATAAGGGAAGAGATAAGGCTTAGAAGTAGCACTGTGCAGTTGAGAGTGGATAGATTGTTTGGTATAACTCTGGCCGCAGACCAGCGCAGAGTCCAACACACATGTATTCAGGTCACCAGCTCCTTCTGAGCAACTTTTACTGGTATCATGATGGCTCCATTGGGATGGGAGAAGTACTGTGTGCTATTCTCGAGCAACCCCTTGTGGCTAATCCTCTCCACAATGCTGGACCTTCGTATGATGGAAAGGCAACGGCCCCCGCAAGAGGCTATCTGGGGCTGGGCGCGGAGCGGTGAGTCAGAGGAGCCTGGCATGGTGCTACCTGATCGGCATATGGCAGTATTGCCAAACTAGAGAGATTTAAAATAAAGTCAATTGAAAAAGAAAACTATAATAATTTATCTTCAATGTAATATTGCAACCAAAACTGCAAGAATTTATCTTCAATGTAAAATGCAACCAAACCCTGTTCCCAGTACTAGTGATCCTGTGCCCCACACATGCATTCTGGTACCATTGTGAGTAGCATCATATCCTGACCAAAGCTTTCAGGAAAATACCTGGTGCAGGAGCCGCCATGCCTGGATCCACAAAGGGACTCAGGCATTGTGATGCAAAGCATTGCAGTGCCTAACTTTTGGGCACCTAGATAAATCACAGCACAACACTGCAATCTCCAAATCCTGAGTTCGGTGTCCAGGCTTCCCTATACAATGATTGGGGAGAGGTAAGCACTTTAGATTGCAATCCACAGAAGCCAGCATGGTAGGCAGAGAGCTGCCTAAGCTAATGAATGGAAGATGCTGATGAGAGGGGTCTTTCTGAAGCGGCAGCCCTCTCATGGACATAGGAGCCTAAATCCATGCTGGAAGGAGTCACTGATCGCTGCTAGCAATCTCTCTCGTGGAGCATGGCCGCTAAAGTCATTCCTTGTGTCATAAATATAAAGGGAAGGATAAACCCCTTTGAAATCCCTCCTGGCCAGGGGAAAGCTCCTCTCACCTGTAAAGGGTTAAGAAGCTAAAGGTAACCTCGCTGGCACCTGACCAAAATGACCAATGAGGAGACAAGATACTTTCAAAAGCTGGGAGGAGGGAGAGAAACAAAGGGTCTGTGTCTGTCTGTATGCTGGTTTCTGCCAGGGATAGACCAGGAATGGAGTCTTAGAACTTTTAGTAAGTAATCTAGCTAGGTATGTGTTAGATTATGATTTCTTTAAATGGTTGAGAAAAGCATTGTGCTGAATAGAATAACTATTTCTGTCTGTGTATCTTTTTTGTAACTTAAGGTTTTGCCTAGAGGGGTTCTCTATGTTTTGAATCTAATTACCCTGTAAGATATCTACCATCCTGATTTTACAGGGGGGATTTCTTTATTTCTATTTACTTCTATTTTTTATTAAAAGTCTTCTTGTAAAAAACTGAATGTTTTTTCATTGTTCTCAGATCCAAGGGTTTGGGTCTGTGGTCACCTATGCAAATTGGTGAGGCTTTTTATCCAACATTTCCCAGGAAAGGGGGGTGCAAGTGTTGGGAGGATTGTTCATTGTTCTTAAGATCCAAGGGTCTGGGTCTGTAGTCACCTAGGCAAATTGGTGAGGCTTTTTACCAAACCTTGTCCAGGAAGTGGGGTGCAGGGTTTTGGGAAGTATTTTGGGGGGAAAGACACGTCCAAACAGCTCTTCCCCAGTAACCAGTATTAGTTTGGTGGTGGTAGCGGCCAGTCCAAGGACAACGGGGGGAATATTTTGTACCTTGGGGAAGTTTTGACCTAAGCTGGTAAAGATAAGCTTAGGAGGTTTTTTTCATGCAGGTCCCCACATCTGTACCCTAGAGTTCAGAGTGGGGGAGGAACCTTGACACCTTGTGAGCATGATTTAGGCACCTGCCTCCTTCCACACAAGATGCGCAGGGAAGGAGGTGGTAGTGTCACCCACCTAATAATTTTTTGCACATTGGTTTGAGGACTCACCTGGGGTGAGGGAGACAACAGTTCAATGCGGCCCTCTGCCTGAGGGGGAGAATGGATTTGAACAGGAGTCTCCCACCTTGCAGGAGCATGCTCTACCCACCCTGCTGTGGGCTAGTCTGATGTGGGGGGGGCTCCCTCAATTTCTCCTCTTGAAGCTTCCAATTCATTTTAATGGCAGTTAGGAGCCTAAGTACCTTTAAGGAGCTGGGCCTCAGTGCCCATGGTTTGAGCCCAATGTTATTCTCGTTGCATTTGGATCAGGGTTAGGGTTAGGATTCTAGCTTTGAGGTGGGGCTCTTTTTGTTTGTTTTCTGTTCTTTTTGTTGAGAGCATTGGCTGCTGGCTTGACAATGCCAGTGGGGGAGTGAATTGTGTTTCAACTATTTTTCAGCAAAGCCCCCTGATCCTCTGATGGGAATATTTAAAATGTTTTTACATCTAAATATATTAATAAATGGTAGTTGATCCTATTAGGATTTTGACAGGAACTTCAGTATCTCTATAAGAGGGTGGCCTTCTCCTTTAAGGATCAGGAGGCCTGGGGCTAGCCAGTCAGCCCCTCCCCCACCCCCATGCCCTAGTTAGCTGCCTAACTGTGGTCAGGAGACAGCCTGAAACTCCTGGAACTCAAACAAGGACTAAGAAAAGTCAGTTTGTGGGAGGAGCCACAAGTCTGGGGGCAAAGGGGCAAGCTGGACTCTTGTGGAAGGCTCTGAAAAGTTTCCAAGGAAGTAGCCTGGGAGTCTGGGCTCTACCCAGAGCAGGAAAGATGGAAAGGGAACCCAGAGGGGCTGAGCTTGTGAGAGGGGAAGCAGCTTGAGAGTCAATCACAGAAGATTAGGGTTAGGAGAGACCTCAGGGGGTCATCTAGTCCAACCCCCTGCTCAAAGCAGGACCAACCCCAACTAAATCATCCCAGCCAGGGGTTTGTCAAGCCTGACCTTAAAAACCTCTAAGGATGGAGATTCCACCACCTCCCTAGGTAACCCATTCCAGTGTTTCACCACCCTCCTAGTGAAATAGTTTTACCTACTATCCAACCTAGACCTCCCCACTGCAACTTGAGACCATTGCTCCTTGTTCTGTCATCTGCCACCACTGAGAACAGCCTAGCTCCATCCTCTTTGGAACCCCCCTTCAGGTAGTTGAAGGCTGCTATCAAATCCCCCCTCACTCTTCTCTTCTGCAGACTAAATAAGCCCAGTCCCCTCAGCCTTTCCTCGTAAGTCATGCGCCCCAGCCCCTTAATAATTTCCATTGCCCTCTGCTGGACTCTCTCCAATTTGTCCACATCCTTTCTGTAGTGGGGGGCCAAAACTGGATGCAATACTCCAGATGTGGCCTCACCAGTGCCGAATAGAGGGGAATAATCACTTCCCTCAATCTGCTGGCAATGCTCCTACTAATGCAGCCCAATATGCCATTAGCCTTCTTGGCAACAAGGGCACACTGTTGACACATATCCAGCTTCTCATCCACTGTAACCCCTAGGTCCTTTTCTGCAGAATTGCTGCCTAGCCATTCGGTCCCTAGTCTGTAGGGGTGCATGGGATTCTTCCATCCTAAGTGCAGGACTCTGCACTTGTCCTTGTTGAACCTCATCAGATTTCTTTTGGCCCAATCCTCCAATTTGTCTAGGTCACTCTGGACCCTATCCCTACCTTCCAGCTTATCTACCTCTCCCCCCATCCTAATGTCATCCACGAACTTGCTGAGGGTGCAATCCACGCCATAATCCAGATCATTCATGAAGATGTTGAACAAAACCGGCCCCAGGATCGACCCCTGGGGCACTCCGCTTGATACCGGCTGCCAACTAGACATCAAGCCGTTGATTACAACCCTGTAAGCCTGATGATCTAGCCAGCTTTCTATCTACCTTATAGTCCATTCATCCAATCAAAAGCTTTGCTAAAGTCAAGATATATCACATCCACTGCTTTCCCCTCATCTACAGAGTCAGTTGTCTCATCATAGAAGGCAATCAGATTGCTCAGGCATGACTTTCCCTTGGTGAATCCATGTTGACTGTTCATGATCACCTTCCTCTCCCCAAGTGCTTCAGAATGGGTTCCTTGAGGAATGCTCTATCCCAGAGCAGAGAGACTTAAAGGGAGCTCAGAAGATGGAGTCCAAGGGGAGCAAAAGAACTGCTGCCAACTTCAGCCTGTGTGGAGAAGGCTGAGAGGACCCACTTCAGGGGAGAAAACAGAGCAGGGAGTGCCTGCATTGCCATTATTGGCCAGCAGGGGTCTTATAGGGCAGGCACACCCTGTGACAATCCTTCACTTTTTTTTTTTAAAAAAGGTGTTTCAGGAACAGTGTGTATAAATACAGCCCCACTAGTGTGCTGTGTAGTTAAGTGAATGCCATCACTGGCAGGAGCCTTAATCTGCACCCAAGCAATTTTGCAATTTTATTTTGCTCTGAGTGTGATGTTGCACCCCATAATGCTTTATGGAAATATGCTTATGAATGTAAATATGACATAACTGGAAGATGTTTTATGCTACATATGCCATGTAACATATCTCTGCAAAGGTTATGATCTACTGAATATATTCATCCTATTTGTATGCATGTATCATTTTTGTATTCAAAGTTATGAATATTGGCTGTGTACTTGTTTGAATTTAAGTAGCCTTAGTAAGGCATTTGGTCAGCTTCTTTAGAAAGGAATTTGCAAGTTAAGTGCCCAACCAAGGAACACTTAACGGACTATGGATCTTGGAAGACTCCAATCCACATAAGAAGTCTACCTGAGGACATTCAAGGTAGCATGTAAACAAAGGCTGCTGCCTGTAAAAACTGAGTCATGCATGGACTTGTGACTTGCCCATGTGACTCCAAAACTCCATCTTGGAGCTTTACTTTGCATGGGGAGGGGTCTCCACCCACAAGAGAAAGTCTATTTAAGCCCCTGGGAGACCCCTCCATTTCGTCTTCAGCTGGCTCAGGAGATAGCCTCTTCACCCCCAAAGATTACCTGAAAGAG